CTGAAAAACAATAAATAATAAATAAGACGACTACGTCGTCAGTCCAGAAGTCGAAATGCTTGAAATGCTCGACGAAGTCTTCCTCTCGAGTGGAGACCGCAAAGATCAATCAAAGATCGTCGAAGTGAGAAGCGATTAATCTCGAGGCTAGCGACGAAGTTCGATGTGAAGTCTTTGGAAGTTGAAGAGTGATTGATAACTGATGCTTGGCGAGGGAGTCCTTCACACCCAAGTAGACGTGTAAACAAGGAGGCTCCACCTGTTTCTGGAGCGAATTGGAAGAGAATTACGTCGTCACGAGCTTATCTCATCTTGCATTGACTTGGTAGAGTCATGTAGAGGAGGGCTCATCTTCTGAGAAGAAAACGATCAAGGATCTCTATCTGTCAACACGTTGCCATTGATCACATTTAAGGATCATGAAAGAAAGATCCTTTCATTCATATCCATCTCTAGAGTTATGAAATTATTATAGACAAATATCAAATGTTGGGAAAGGATATTCTTTCACTAAGCAACGCATCTGGATTCGATATACAATAATTGGTGGATAATTTGCTTTACCATAGAGATAATTTTTTCATAAAATTTATTAGTGATAGCTTCTGCCCTCTTTAAGAATCAATACTGAAAACAAAAAGAAACTACAACATTAGTTTTCTTTGTTTTGTAACATTACTACGACTTTATTTATGTAAATATTGAACTCTTTAGGCATGTGTAATATTCCTTTATGTTCTGAAAATATTACTCATCTATCCTAAAAAAGAGTTCCTTTCCAAATACATTTGGGGGTCTCTAGAAGGTCTCCAGGGTTCCTGGAAAGTAATCAACCCCCTCTCGACCTCTCAGGGGCCCTGGGAAGGCATTCATTGAAAGGATTTTTGAGGCAACCTAATAAAATTCTATTCCTTTTTGCTCTAAAAATATTTCTGATCTACCCCAAAAAGAGTTTCTTTTCAAATACATTTGGGGGTTCCTGGAAAGTAATCAACCCACTCTCGACCTCTCCGGGGCCCTGGGAAGGGGTTCATTCGAAAGATTTTTGAGGCAACCTAATAAAATTATATTCTTTTTTGTTCTAAAAATATTTCTCATCTATTCCAAAAAAACTTTTCCTTTCCAAATACATTTGGGGATCCCTAAAAGGTAAACGATCCCCCCTTGACCTTTCAAGGGGACCGAGGAGGGGTTCATTCAAAGGATTTTTGGGGCAACCTAATAAAATTGTATTTCCTTTTTCTCTAAATATATTTCTCATCTATCCCGAAAAAGAATTTTCTTTGGAAATACATTTGGGTGTCCCTAGAATGTAAAGGACCCTCTCTCGACCTTTCCGGGGCCCTGAGAAGTTGTTCATTGAAAGGACACGCGGTTAATTTAGAATGCACACGCCCGGAACGTGCAAATCGTGCGCACGTTGTACGTTTCGCTCACTCGTATCGGCGCGATGCAATCGGTCGAAACGAGCCTTGCGAGTATCGTGAAAACGAGGGCGAACGAGGTTTGCCAGTGTCTAGTCGTCTAAGGGGCGTGTTACGAACGTTACGCATCCTTACGTAACGCGTTCTCACGCGTGCTACCCAGGAAACACTCGATCGAACGATATTTAATTGGTAATTTTCTCCCACGTCGGTAATCATCCTGACGTTACGTAAGAACGGAGTCGTGGAAAACGTGGAAAAAAGTAGAATGTTGGGGGAAGGATTTATCCTGGGTGTTTATGAAGTTATTCGCTTTCGGTTTAATCTTCGGAAATTAGTTTCAGGTTTGCGTAAACTGATAGTATTAATTGCTTTGTTGTAACTGAGCGAAATATACGATTTTTTTGCAAGAAAAAAATGAAATTTTGCACTTTTATTGTATTTTTAGAATTACAAAGTGATTAGTAGGCTGTTCTTAATTCAGAGTTACAAGTGGTATTCATGTCAAGCTTGATAATGTAAAACGTAAAATAAAATAGTTTATTTTGGTAATCTATAGTTAAAGCATGAAAATAAATATTTTATTTTGATAATCTAACATATAAGATAAAATATGTTTATTTTAATAACATAAATCATAAAATAGAATACTTTCCATAGTTCTTAACTTGAAAATAAACTGTATATGTATGATATACAAATAGAGAATATATTTATTGCAAATATTATGATTTCTTGGGATTGAAAAATATTTCTTTCCATCACTCATTTTATGAAGATTCTTATTGAAGATTCTTTATAAAAGTATTCATTGAACAACTACATTGAATGTATGTTTATAATGCAGAGGAAAAGTACTTCGTTTAAGATTACCAAAATGAATATATTTTACACTATAATTTAGTAAAATAAAAATATTTTATTTGCTGATAATAAATTATATAAACAAAATATTCCGAACTATGGCACAAATATTTTCAGTGTTTTTCCAATAAAATATTATTTGAAATATTATCTTACAAATTTTGTATAACAAATAAAATATTTTATTCTTAAAAATACATCCATAATCCGAAATCAAATATTTATTTACTATTTACTATTTAAAATGCGTATGTTACTCAACTCTGTATATCACTATATCACACATCAATTTGCCAAGATTTATTTCGTATGTGATTACTCAAAACTCATGTTCCCAGAAATGTGTACAATTCTTATACATAATAATATTTTCATGTAGTATATTCATCACATAATATATAGTAATAAATAAAAAGTGAATACTCTTTATTTCGTATTAGTTGAACAAAAATTGCAATTTGAATTTCAAAATGAAATGTATCACTATGATCAAAGTAAACAAATTGAACCATATGATAATGTTATTTGTCATATATGATTTTAAACAAAATTTTGTCCACTTCTAATTCTAACTTACGATGCAAAATTTATTTACTTTTCATTTGTTACTTGAAATATGCACCCACAAAATTTTTTCCATCGAGGCACGTGTTCGTGGTCCCTAGCAGAGGGGGCACTTAATATCCTCCGGAGGCCCCTGAACTTTCCCTATTTTTGCTACACAGTAACTACTCGAATAACAGATTCGTCACTTTTATTTTCGATACACAGTGAAAGTTCTGTGTACCGGATGTATGGTCATAGGTTCTCACTTAAATAAACAATTCCCTCTTATTAGCTGTTGTGAAAGGGTGTTTCGCCAAAATATACCTTGAAGGTTGAAATAATTTTTTTATGAAATAAACTCTTCGTTTCTGGCAACTCGGACAAATTACTTGGTCCCAGATCTTACGTAACATTTTTCACAATTTAAAACGTGTTAAATTGATTAGGCTGATCTATTTTTTTTAAGAAGCTACTATAGTGGTTTGAAGTGATTGCATAATGGATTTCTTTGATATTCTTTTATTCATACCTGCGTTCCATCCCTCATGCATCCCCTTCAGCAATATTCAGTTCGTTTCAACACTATTTTAGCACTATAAGTTTTTTAAACGTACAGCCCTGTCCAAAGTCGTGGGCCATTTATGGTACATTACATATTTTACATTTTTTCGAATATGTTTTCTTCTATCAATATTATTGTATAGTGTACTGTCAGAGATTAGATAAAAATAGTATAAATTCAAAAAAGAATTTAATAGTTTTTTACACAGTGTACTCTCCAAAATGAAATAAAAATAGTATAAAATCAAAGAAGAATTTAACGTTTAATACTCTTTTCGTCTTTGCAATAACGTTGACTCTTCTTGAAGAACATTTTTGAATTACTTCACTCAGAATATTTTGTCAATTCTGGCTCTCCTTTTTTCCAAGCTCTGTCCAAATAATCCCAAACATGTTTAATATTTATAACATGTTTAAAATTTAAGTCAGAACTTTCATGTGACCAATTTATAACGTTCAATGTTTCATTCTCCCCCACATCATTTTAAATAATTTTTTACAAATCGAGTAATATATTTAATACAATTCACCCATAAATATATAGACACTAATCGCTTTTAACGAATAATTATTATACGTCATGAATTATGTGCAATCTTTTATTGCTAAATTCTGTTCCATATGCGTATTTAGTAACATTTAATAATATTGCAAACACTTATGCGAGTTAGTAAAAAATAAATTCAAGAATATTACTTAAGATACACGAGGAATTCTAATATCTAGGATATCAAGATTGGCAAAGGAAGTTTAAATAGCACACGGGGGATACATTAACGAAAAGAAAATTGAATTGTTTTTTATTATATTATGTTCTCTGATCCAACACAAATTAAATACAGAAACATAAGTGACAAAAATAATAAAAATTGGTATATTATTATCGTATATTGTATTATGGATACAAATGATTGATACATGATTATTTATAACAATTTCCACGCTAACAGACATTCTCTGCGATAAAAATCTCTCTCACATCGTGATGTATACTAATAATTTAATTTTGTCCACTTATTTCGCACTGTGCGACGGCCGAGTGGCTCGAGCAATAATAAGAAACGCAAAGGTAAGGAAGAAATCGAACGTGTCGCAGCCGAAGAAACAGAGAGTCGCGATCCTTTCTAAAACCGTGCATTAGGCATCGGCATTGTGTGTACAAGGTGGAAAGGATAAGAAAAATCAAGGTACGGCCGAGCTTTTGGCAGCGTGGGGCACCACGCCGATCGACGATAATACCTCCTGCACTTTCTCCCACCATTTATAAAGTTCGACTCGAATCTCGCGCTCGTTCAGTCGTCCTGGTATCACGTGTTGTGTATATATCGCTACCACGAATTGGCACTCCTAATCGCGTATGAAGTGAACTTGTGCGTCGATGGGAAATTCTGGAGTTCAGTGTTCAACGGAGTCTAAAGTTCTGGTAGGTTTTTTTTTCTTTTTGGAGCGTAGTAAAATTAAAAATAGTTATCCAGTGATTATAATATAATATATCCTTGTGATCGAATTCAATTTTTGGGCGAATTTAAAGAAATAGAAGTAATAAGTCGAACACATTTTTAAATTCGAAGCGATTTTATTCAGTGGAGTAGTATTTAATATCTGTTCAAGAATTATAATTAATGTTGTACGTCATTTTTAATTTAGTTTATTCATTCTGTAGAGGTTTAAATTTCATTTTTTTTTTTATTATTGGAGTATTATTTTGTCGAGGATCAGAAATTCATTTTTAGGTAGGTCGAACGTTTCCTATAAATCAAAAATTCATCCTGTGACAAATACTTCTTTGAACAGAAAAAATTCCATTTCTCCATTGATTTTTTTCTCTTACATTAATTTCGAAATTCCCACAGTGCAAATAAACCATAGAAGTTGATATTGCTTTCCCGAAACACGGAATATTTGTTTGAAATCATCGTCCACTTGAATCGGAATTATCAATAATAAAATTCACTCCATTTGAAATTTTCTTCGAATAATTTAAATTACTGCAAAATCCCTCCAATGAAATTGTTTCGAGTCGTGTAATCGATCCAAAAGGCTACGAATAAATTTGCAGGTAATTAAATTAGCAGATTAATTATGTATTTATATTGAGGAAACATGTAAGAGTGTTTAACGATATTTATTTAACGATATTCAGTTGCGTGGAAATACATCATCCTCCCTTACTTTTGGAAACATGATGAATGTTTCAGCTTCTTGTGACAGCTGTTAGGAATGCAGAAACATTAATCACAACCACGTCGAGATAATGCCAGTGAATTAACTCTTTCGTAAATTATACCTTAGAAATCGAATAGAGATTTGTATTAGATAAAAAATATTTTTGGGACATTGTTTAACTTGTCTCGATTCTCACTGTTTATTACTGTTTTTGAATATAGACATTTTTATGCATGAAAAATGTCTTTGCACTCTAAATTTCCTGATTTCACTGCATTTTTGTCGAACCTCACTCGATAGAGGATTAGGTTAGGCAAAGGGTTAATGAATATTATATGTAGATTGCAATACCATTTAAAATATTGTCAAGCAAAAAACGTTATTGTTGTACCTTATAATATTCGTTCCGCTCTAAATATACGTTAAAAGCATTACGCTTTTCATTCATTTTTACCCTTCGTTGGGATCAAAGAAATTTATAGATTGTCTTTCGTTTCTGGTCGAGCAACCGCGACCGAAAGAAAAAACAGTTCTCGCTCGGCGATAAATCAGGGAAAATGCCTTGGACTTGCCATTTACCGTCAACGGTGTGAATATTCCGACGATTAAAGGTTAAACAATGCCGAGGTTGAACTATTAGCCCTTCCATTAGGGTTGGCAACGTATCCTACATTACAAAATCGATCTTTATCTTCCTCGAACGTGTTGTTTATTTGTCTAAAACAATGTTCAATCGTCAATATAATTCCCATTTAAATACTCTTAATAAAGAAAGTCTTTATAAGTCTTCTGTAATAAATTCTTTTTATTCATTATACATAAATTTTATTCAATTTATATCTTGGTAACGAGTTTCATTCATTTAAAAAAATATATATATTTGTTTACAAAGACAGGAGATACCTTTGGAAAAGTTTAGAAATTACTGCACAAGGACAAACTGATTGCTTGAATAATCATTACTAAATTGTGGATCTTTATGCAAAATAAAATCTTTGCAAACATACCTACAAAAATTGACCCTAAATAGGAATTTATTATACCTTGCAAATATTATAATGTGAACTTAACTTTAAATATTTTTTGCATAAAAATCAACAGTTCAAATAAGTCAAAAAATATTGAGAATTAAGAAAAAGAATAAAATTACAGCAAGCATACAATTTTCTCACTATATACTCTATTACTTTAAGAAAGTATATATTTGACCTTCATATCCTAATACATAGACTGAGGTTCATTATGCGAAATAAAATCTTAGCAATGGTACTTACAAAAATTGAATCCAAATAGGAATTTATTTTACCCTGGAAATATTATAACGTGAACTTTACTTTCATTATTTTTATATTCTTGCAAATATGTTCACCGTTACTGCTTGGATTTTGTAATTTTTTGCGCATTCAAACTTCCATATAAATGAATAAAAATCCGCAGTCTAATCATTACTATATACAGAGTGCGAATAAATTACAAAGCGTGAACTTTATAGGACCATAAAACTCATTGAAGGAAACGATAAAACCTGAATAAATATACGTCTGATAAATGATGTTCGGACGATACGAAACGATTTAATTCGGTAGGTAATGTGTAGTTCTTTCTCCACATCCTGCGCAATGATTAATGCGATATCAGCCTGCCAGGCTGCGAACGCGTACGAAATTCATCGAGGAAAAGCGAAGCAACATGTATTCAAATAAACGACCGTCATTGAGCAATCGCTATGCACACAGTTTCATAACGATCTCTAAGTCGGTGTATAAAAATAGTTATGAATTCACAAATTACAGAGTCATCGTCGGAAGAATTTATTTTTAGGTGGTTTACGATACAACTTTCTTTCGCTGAGGTTTGTCAGACCCTGAAGCTTCAATTGAATTCTATGGTTTGATAAATTAAATATGTTCACCGTTACTGCTTAGGATACTTATTATTTTATTTAAACAAGTATAGTATCGGCGCCCATAAGTATAAGTATAAGAAGACAAATGAAAATATGAAATGTAAGGTACGGGATTGGTTGTGTAGGTAAAGCGATGGACTGTGGTTCTGAAGATCGTCGGTTCGATTCTCCGTGCCTCATGTTTCGTTTAGACTCCTACACAAGCTTTTTTTCAATTCTTATCTAATTTCTATTAACGGAAACTAATGTTTTAATTAGTGAAGTCGATTTACTGAAATTAATTAGGAGACTTGAACAAAAATTGAGGTATAACCACGTGTGAAACTCGTGGTCGGGTAATTCGGGTTAAAACTGTGATTATCGGAAGGCTGGGTTGTGGAGTATTCTTCGGGCCCAAAATTGATTATCGCGAGCCTGGCTCGTGGTGTATTGTTTGGGCCCAAAGTTGATTATCACGAGCCTGCCTCTTGAAGCATTCTTCCGGCCCAAAATTGATTATCACGAGCCTGACTCGTGGTGTACTCTTTGGCCCAAATATAAACATCACATTTTGTTCCCAGTCTGTTGGAGCTCCAATCATACCTTAAGGGCTTAAAACCAGTCATTTAATTGATCACGATAGAAATAGAAATAAATCTTGCTAGATAAATCATTAACACATAGAGATTCCTGCAAAAATGAGCGGACCCTTTTCCAATTTCTAAGCCCCTCTAATACGAACCTTCAATTCCCTTCTACCACCGAGGACCAACCATCTGCTGTTGCCACACTTCTTCGCAATGTTTCAATCATTTCCGTTATTGCGCACAGTTCGTTTCCGTGTCTCCATTAACCGAAATACCAAATATGATCGAAACGCGCGCAAGAAACAAGCGTGACTCGATAAATCGCGTATTGAATACAAGCGGAACGCGATCGTTCAATAACACTTAGCGTTCCTCCATCTGGCGAATAGACTTCCTACGCACACCTGCACGCGCAACTAACGGAAAAAGTAGCTTAATTATCCCCGTATAGAGGAGATAGTGATCTACTCTGCGCGGGCGAGTTTTAGCTAAACTGAGCGTGCACGTAACTTTCTCCTACCATTATTGCCCCACAAATTTGCATTTCTTTGATCCTCGTGCAACAGGTATCATTAAGGAAATTCGACGTTCCCTGACGCGCGTCCTTGGCTCGGTCGTTTCATGAGACGCGCACGGAAATGATTACGAGGAACTGATATAAACCGAATTTTTTTTTTTAAGGAAAGCTATTTTTCCTGGCAAATATGCGCGTGTTTCGATTTCAAATTTATAATAAATTACAGGGCTGTTTTCTGTCGATGCTTATGATGATCAATTTTCGGCTCCTTCATTTTTTATCCTCTTCAGGATAGGGTACAACGAATTAGGATTGAGTAAGGAGATAGTCCACCTAGTTAACTTAGATAGGAAGGTACTCTGTTGAAGATTGAATTTTTGTGGACATTTCATACCTTGCAAGTAACTTAATCAAACTGTGAGGCGAATTATTAAACACGTAAGAAACTTGTTTATACATGATACATTCAGGGAAAGAATGTTTCCTACGTAAATGAAACTAGCTTCTACACCAAGACAAGCATAAATCCCTAAACTAATTACACCCATCATAATTTCTTCCTATTAATTATAATAACCCTGTTGCATCAAATTTCAGTGTAACATCCTCGTAGTTTTGTAATGACACATTTCCTCCGGCGATATCATCTGCGACATTTTGCAAACTCTTGTTCTTCTCTCTGGTGTTATAATGATTCACACGGATCCTGGGAATTTAACTCGTCGGTAAGTGTCGCGTGGATCTAGCGAGGAATAGACCTGCGCGTGAAAAGAACGAATCGTTGCGTAACCGAAATCATTCACAGGTTGAAGAGCCTTGGACTTTTTCTCGTAAGGTGAAGAGCAAAAAAAACACCAAGTGCTTTGTCATAGGTTCCTAGGCTACGTAACACCACGACAAGTCGAATACTGACTCCTGCGAACGTAGGACACGTCAGCGATCGTGAAAGTGCTAAGCAATAAATTGTACAATTACGATCATTGTTGCACAATGCCTAACCGTACGGTAAACGTTCGTTGCGAAATAATTCCACGGATTTTTTATTGATATTCACACTTGTGTTACTTTTTTTTTTATTAAAGTTTAATTTAGTTTCGTATCGGACACAGTTGACGATTTTTCGGGAATGTGAATACTATTTTTTTATTCTTTTTTTTACGGACATAGGAGGAGGTTACTTAATTTGTATATTTGTTTTTTTTAATTGAACAACTAAATTTTTAATCGTGGAAAAGGGAGGAATGTTATTTTTACAAATAATCCCAGAAAATTGGAGAGTTAGAGTTTTACACATGAACATTGTCTGTTTTATAAGAAGAGTATTAATAGGATAATGTAATAAAATGATTGAGAAGACATAGTAATATGACCACATAATAAAATAATCGAATTTCAGCATGGGTATTTAAACAAAACCTGTGACATCAAATAGTACCTCTATCGTTAAATATAGAATCCCATAAGCATGCAATTGCGTTTAAAAAGCCAATAGGATGAAAAGTGACAAATAACTCGAGCCGAGGATTCGCATCTGACAGTTCCATGCAAATGACCGATCGTGGCAGATGGAGGAACGTCATTCTCACACTCAACCGCAGAAAAAATTCGACACGCCATTTCTCAATCAAACATGAGACGTCATTTACCACGAATCCAATACGAGGACCGTTCTTGCCTCCGTCACAATCCATTTGTAACGATTAATGCCGACCGTCGCATCCGGGTTAAAAGGAAACAACCTCTCCAGATAGAGAAAACCAAATATGGCGTAATATCGACCAGGTATTCCCCCGGTTGAAAAATGCTCTTGGCGGCGTCGCTAGGTAAACGATCGTTTGGAAATCTTGTTTACTTTCCTTGCTGTGTTCACGGTGTGTTATTGTTTCGGTACAACGTATCCACTTCGTTTTGAAATCGAGTGGATTTCGTTCTTCGTTTTATGAAAGACAGAATTTTAAGATTAAAAATCATTTTATTTTCGAACAGCCAAAATTCATGTCCCATTATATGGTGAAAAATGCTGTGGGGCGATGAAATAGTTGGGTAGTAACTAGGGGAGTGCGGGATCCCGGTCGGGACGGGAATTCCTCCCGAGATCGGGATGGAATCCCGAGAATTTCAGAATCTCGAATACATCCGGGATTCCCGTGAATTTCCAGGATCCCGAAACCATTCGGGATTCCCGAGAATTTCGAGATCCCGTAAATGTTCTGAATTCCCGGAATTTCGAAATCCCGTACATTCGGATTGCTCAAATTTTCAACAATAACAACATTTTTGGCAATCCCAGATATTATTCTACACTCGCCCTAAAAAAAATAGGGACACTTCTTCAAAACGTCATAACGATAGGAGTTTTCAACCGATTTTCGTGAAACTTCGTCAGGAGTAGTTTTGAAGTGTCCTCTGGGTGTGTGCAAAGTTGCATTGGCGAGGTTTGATGAGAAGGGGTTAATTCACCCCCTTAAAGGGGGCGCGTCGAAAAACGTCACTTCTAAAGGTGCCAGGAGTAATGGAAAGGGTTAAAAAAATTAAAAAAACCTTTAGGGCGACTCTCTTTGATGCTCTCTATAAGATGCACCCCTTGAAATCCCTCTCGGACAAACCCACCCCCACAACCTCCCATCCCCTCTAAAATTCACAATTTTTGGACGACGGTCTCAATTTTGGACTCAATGCATTCTCTGGACTCCCCTGATACAGACAATGCCATCACACATACCGTGCACCCCATAGGCACCTCTTGGGTGAGTGGAACAGCTTTCAAATTTTCAACCCCCTTCGTAAGGGAGCACTTCCACACATCAGAGGGCGATTAAATTCACCATGTTTGTTCTCGATATGTTAAGGATGAATGCCGAAAAGGTCCCGTTTCGAAAACTGCCCCCGACGCTGAAGGGGGGGGGGGGGCAGATGTAGAGGTGGTCCACCCCCAAGTGTAAGGGGTTGGAACGTTGTCACGTTGCGTGGATACATGTCCAGCAGTCCAGGGCATCGGGCTGACACAGTTTTGATGTCTTTTTCCCGCGTGAATGACAATAAAATACGAAAATATCGTTTTTTTTTAAATTCGCTTCCTAATTCAGGCCCATCTGCAGGGTGAATGAGCAACGCCACGCCAACGCCGTTCGTGGTATCGGATGCGCGAATGCTTTATTAACAGATACCCAAAAATTCAGATTTTTTCAATCACGCTTTCGTTGCCAAATCGAAGTAGATTTGAAAGAGGAATAAGGGGTGCCTATGGGGTGCACGGTATGTGTGATGCATTGGTCCAGAGAATGCATTGAGTCCAAAATTGAGACCGTCGTCCAAAAATTGTGGATTTTAGAGGGGATGGGAGGTTGTGGGGGTGGGTTTGTCCGAGAGGGATTTCAAGGGGTGCATCTTGTAGAGGGCATCAAAGAGAGTCGCCCTAAAGGTTTTTTTAATTTTTTTAACCCTTTCCATTACTCCTGGCACCTTTAGAAGTGACGTTTTTCGACGCGCCCCCTTTAAGGGGGTGAATTAACCCCTTCTCATCAAACCTCGCCAATGCAACTTTGCACACCCCCAGAGGACACTTCAAAACTACTCCTGACGAAGTTTCACGAAAATCGATTGAAAACTCCCATAGTTATGACGTTTTGAAGAAGTGTCCCTATTTTTTTGAGGGCGAGTGTATATCCCGTACATTGTCGGAAATCCCGGACTTTTGCGGGATCTCGTGTATTCTCGGGAATCTCGAATATTCTCGGGAATCCCGGATATTTTCGGAAATCCCGCACACCTCTAGTAGTAACAGAATAAATATGTCCCGTTATACAGCTTAAACAGTGGAGGGGGAATACGATGAACATAGAGAAGGACAGCGAATATAAAAAACTTCAGGGTATGTCTGTGAGTTTTATCGTTGCATTAGCATTGTCTTATCCAGATATCTGATCTCGGATTATGTTACACTACTTGGCGATCGAACCCCTGAATCCCTCAAGGGGTATACCCCACAGTGATGGGGATGCTTTCTGTGCATTTATTGTAGGGAAATTTGTACATTTAAGGGAGTGGACTCACACAGTTCCACACCACTGTATATGTACACGGAACTGCAAGGGCTTGCGTATTGTCCTATTTTTGTCTCGACAATGTAAATTTAAGACCTCTCAACAGTCGTTTCCGCTAGATAAATATTCAAACTTGTGCACAAGCTTCTATAGGTAGT